CGCTGCGTATTGAAAGAAATGAAAGTGGGTTTTATTCGGCGTGTGGATGGTAGGGCGAGATGTAGATGGTGTCGAAGGGCACGATTAGGCCTCTGACGGACTGCACCCGGTTCCTGAGCACCGTCTGCGCATCGTCGTAGCGCATATACGTTATATACGCCATCCCCGTGCTTTCTCGCGTAAGCGGATCCCGCATGAGCTTGAACGACGTCACTGTTCCGAACCTCTTCATGTGTTCCAGCATCGCCAGGGACTCGCTGATCCCACGGACGCCTTCTGGCTTGTGTTTTATCACCAAGTCTTTGATTAGGGTTGCGCCTCTCATTGCAAATTCACAAAAACAAAAAAAATTAAAATTAGAGCACTTTATAGGGACAAAAGAGGGAGTAAGAAAAAAAGTTCCAAGCACAAAAAGATCCAATGTGATCGATCACACCAATAGAAAAAAGGTTGAAAATATTAACTCCAATATGCAGTTATCATGTCGTCGTCTTCGATCTCTGTATCGCCAACCCTGCTTCTGGGATCGAGAGCCTCGTCGTCAAACTCGAGCCTTACGTTGGCGCGCGCATCGAGCTTTGCAATCGACTTGTAGTTGTCGATAATCGCCTGCACGGTTGCCGTCTTTGTCGCCTGGAAAAGAACGTCCTTTCCAGTCTTGTCACGGATCTTTATACGAACAGCATCCACAGCAGCATCCAGTGTTGCTGGACCCTCCGTCTCCTTCTCCTGCCATCCACTCGCTTCGCTGGTATCATTTTGAGCCAACGTGCTGTTTGTTGCCACGGACTCCCGTAGAACTCTGGCAAACTCCAGATCCCGCAGCGCCTGCTCTTGCTCTCTCGCCTGTGCGGCACGCTCCGCAGCCTCTCTTTCACGCTCGCGGTTGTATACTGTCCGGGGATAGACGTCGACGTAGTGGATAGGCTTGGTCCCCAGGCTGGCGATAGATACAGTAGTGAATACGCGCATCCGGTTGACCATCAGAATCGGATCCATTGCCATCACGTTGATTGGAAGCTCGTTTGAAAAGGCGACCACTGCGTTTTCAACAGAGTCCGAGACAAAGGCAACCACCGCAATGCATTTGCTCAGCTCCTTTCTGATCTTGTTGTAATCGTTTGGTTTCACCTTGCCCCACTTGGCTTTGCTCCATGTTGCCAGCACCTCGTGCTTTATGAAAACGTCGTCGTACTTTAACCTAAACTCGATTTGCACCTTGTCGAGCAGATGGGTGGTGCCTGAGCTGCCGCCCGTGGTATCCAGCCTTGTTTTGTGCGGTGGCGACCCGATTTCGTTGAACTGGACGATCGCTTGAAGTGCAGGATCCAGTTCGGAAATGTCGCTTGTGCCTCTTCGTTGCACGCGTGGGGTATGCCGCTGTGGCGTCAAGGGCTCGCTGTCCGAGTCTAGGACAAGCACATCCGAGTCCAGGCTACTGTTATCGTCGGTTTGCATAACAGCCTTTGCTTTGGGTGCATTCGGCCGAACACCAGGAGACCGGGGCCTTGGCGAAGAGGGACCCGTGGGTGGCGGCGTTAACGAACTGCTTCGTGACCTTTGTCGCTGACTCTCCTCCTTCTCATTAGCAGAGCGTTTTCGTTTAGATAATCCTGAACCAGACAAAGACTCATCGTCTTCGGACAAGCTACTCATTCCATCCTCATAACTCGTCTCTGCCGCTTGCAAATACATAGCATCCCTGTTGGGCTCAGAAACTATCTCTTCAGATTCTGTTATTTGCTTGTGAGGGCGTTTGACGACAAAGAAGTCCGCGTCATCATCAGAGTCGTCTGCAAACGTCGTGCATACTTTTTTAGGACGCACTGGCGTTGGTCGTACTGCTGCTGCCGCTGCTGTCGTAGTCGCTTTTCCCCGCCGTCCCTTGCATTTTGCTGTTGCTGTTGGTGTTGCTGTTGGTGTTGCTGTTGGCGTTGCTGTGTTGACTTCTTCTACGTCCGAATCTGAACTAATATACGACATTGCTTATAGACAGTAACAGTTAATAATAAAAGTGTAATAGAAGAAGGTAAATGCACGATAAAACCAACTGCTGAAAGCACAAATGAAAAATGGTATATCGTAAAGCAGGTGTACCCAAAAAAAGAAAGAAAGAAGAGCCAGCAAGAAATTTTCAACAAGTCTGCAAAACTTCATGCAAAAATTGGGCTCAGCCGGGACTTGAACCCGGGACCTCCTGCACCCAAAGCAGGAATCATACCGCTAGACCACTAAGCCGAATGAAATCGATGCATTTCAGGTTTTTTGCTTATGGGAGGAACGTAACATAGGCTTTCATACCTTTTTCTTTCTTTCTACGCCTTTTTGCCCAAGCTGGTTACAAGAGTTGCATGTTGGATCGATTCGTCGGTCCGACGTGTAGCGTTGGAGCGTGGTGCTTTCCAGCACAGGTCCCGGGT